AGGGAGGGGAGGAGGGAGGGCGGGAGGGACGGAGGCACGGAGCGAGAGATAAGAGGGACAGATGGAGGGATGGACGGAGAGGCAGGAACGGAGCTAAGGAGGGAGGGAGGGAGGGACTTTGGGACAGATGACTTTTGAGAGGATTGATTTCAGGAAGGATTGATTTTGAGATGGATTGGATTCTGAGATGGATTGATTTTGATATTGATTGATCGAGATTGTTCGACTATGATGATGATGATGATGATGATGTTGATGATGACGATGATGAGGAAGAGGAGGAGAATGTAATGATGACAAGAATGCCACAACGATCAAGATGACAATGTTGAATGACCACGATAACCATAGCCGGGAGAGGAGATCCAATGCCATGGAAAGAGACTGAATATGGATTATGATAATGATGTCAGGAATGTGTCCATGATAACAGCTTACTGAGAAAATCTGAACAATGCAAGTGCAATGATGATAGAACACGGAAAATCGCCAATATCAAATGGACATCTTGCTGAGATTTAGAAGAACCAGCATAATGTGGAAATTGACCATGAAAATTGTCATCACAACCTGGAATCAAAACCATAATGGCAGCCAACGAGTTCAGCTCAGTTGGTACACCCATGAACCATTGAAATACAGACCCAAGTTTAAATCCTGATGGACCCATATCAATGGAGTGAAATAACTATGAATTCCCTGGGCCGGTCCCTTTGATGATGATATCTCAAAGCCGTCATCCTTTCACAGAAAAACAAACATCATGTGCCAGCATTGAAAGGATGCGACCCTAACGACCATCATCACCATTATGGTGATGATTATAATGATGATGCCAACATAGAGATCATCATTGAAAGGATGTACTGCATACCTGTTCGTGGCTTAGGTTTTCGTCCTCTTTTCTTATGACTTTTCTCTCCTTTGTCGTTCGTAGCATTGCTTTCAGGTACTCTAGTCTCTGGGTCCGCTTTCCTCTTTTCTCCGCTCACTGTGCCTCGACCACTCCCTCCCGCTGCTGGCTCGCAAACACCACACAGTTTTTCCTTCTCGACACGTTCTTTATCGGCAGTGGCCATTGCTTCATACGGCTGCACCGAAGCACCAAAGATGTATGATTATTGGGGAAGTAACAATTCAATAGAACAGATTTGGAGCAGATGCAAAAACAATGAACCAGAGCCACAGATGGGCAAGTCTCAAATACAGGGTATTTTTTCAGCAGATGTCATGCTATGCTTGGATGAAGGGTGAGCAGAACGAGCACGCTGAGAAAACATGCCAGCCAGCTCATAAGAAACTTGACCATTACTCATGCTTGTGGTAGAGCTGGGTGAACTAACCATACAGCGAGCTCCAGACATCTATGCTTTTCTGGCACCCGACACACATCCACTGGATTGACGAGGAGCACCGTGATGTCTGGTGAGAGGATGACAGTACTGCGACTGGCATGAGCAAAGAAGTACTGTCTAGGGCATTTATGGAAAGACGACTGCAATCCCAGCCCACTCCGCAGAATTATATGCCTGAGATGGACCCGAATATGCGTGCACACATCCTGCACTGCACCGGTCATTTCAGTGCTGCTACTTTTGAGGATAATTCATGGACCCTGTGGGATAATGCCAGTAGGGTGCACTCGATCGGAAATATTACCTCTTAGAGTAGGCTCTTACTATCACCGAGTGGCAGAATCCCAATCGGTCTGGCTGGTCAATCAGGAATAGTATGACAATGTGCATTCACGAGCTCTACAGCCTCCAGAGAGCAATCTGGCTGACCCTCCCCCTTCCCTTGCACATGGCCAGGCAGCATGCCTTCCCTGTGTAGAATGGACGGATTATGCTGTGGATAGTGCTGTGGATAGTGAAAGAGTCCCTCCAGAAGGCGGTGGATGTGCCCTCCCATCGTGTGGCCACACAGGTACAGTTCGGTTAGCATGCACACGACATATCTCTCCTCCGGACAGGACATGGTCCATGCCAGCCTCTGCCGCAAAAACTGTGACCTATTGTCTTGCACTTATCCCCCTCATCCCCCCACCCCCTACTTTCCCGGTGCGGTTGTGGCTTTGACATGCCATATTTAAATAACTGTGACGTTGTGTGAACGTCGCCTGCTTTCCTGCTGGCATGTCAGCAACATGCCATGTGTCATCAGACTCATCACTCATCAATGTTTCCAGGAAGCTGTCATGGAAAAAACGTGTCTCGCCTGTGTGGACCGTCCCTGATGCCATCACCGGCCACATCCTCTCCGTTCGTGTCCCATATGCAACGTCGAGCATCCTGTGGCTGCACCCATAATCACATCTCCATCCTTGCCAGCCGAGAAACAAACAAAGCAGCCTGAGGTGGAAAATAGACTCTCACATGAACCACCCACAGCGCAGTGTACTGAAAGGTTCTCGCCGCCAGGGCGAGCTGCGGCAGATCAGATCTTGCAACAGCTTAACACCCTTACTTGGGATCAGGCCCCGTCATCACCTTCCCATAGAGAGGGGACATTTGATGCGGAGACCCAAGAAACCTGCTCGATGCCGCACTGTGATGGAGCACCTCAGATCCGGCTAGCATGTGATTTGCATGGTTTGTGTCGTGAGGATTGTGAAGGTAAAGCCATGCAAGTATTTCTTTTCATATGTATTGTGACAGCTAGGCTACCAGCTGGGCCGCCCGGGTCACCCTGTTTTCCAGGCGGCCCGGCTGTGCAAGGACCAGGGAAGGTCCCAGCAAACAGAAATCATGCAGAAAAATAAACTGACCAACTTTTGCCTCAGGGTCACATTGGGATTCTTTACCAAATTTAAAACAAAAATTAAAATTAAAATTAAAAATTTTATTTTATTTTTATTTTATTTATTTATTTTTGGCCTGGCCGGGCAAGTGGCCCCGGGCCACTGGTAGCCTAGGGTGACACCGTGACAGTCAACATTGTACTCAGGTACCGCACCCTGACATGGCATGTCTTATTTGTAGACGGGCTGGAATGGCAATGCCTATACAATTGCGGTCAGCGTGCCTCTGTGTTCCTAGCATGTAGGAGCCGCGTTAACTGTGACATCTGTCTCAGCCATGAGCATTCAATGCCACAGTCCACACCTGAACTGGTCCTGTCCGGTTTGTGGCAATGGCCTACCACAGGCAACGCTAGCTCGTCAACTCAAAATTCTCTGCAACCTGAACACTGACTCGCCTCTAGTGCCATTCTATAGTAGTCTGCTCTGGCGGTGAGTACTGAGAGCCATGTTAAGTTTTCCTCTGTTTTGAACTCCTCCCCTTCCCCCTTTTCTTCCCCTCCTCCCTCCCCTTGTGTATTACTACTTGCATAAGAATGAGCATCATTAAGAGAAGAGAAAATATAAGATGAAGATCTGCTGAAAAACTGAACAGGAGTATTCCTCCCCCTTTACTCTGCCTCCTTTCATAGCATGCAAGTGGTGAAATTAAATAGGCCGCCGCGAAGCGGCGGTATGGCAATTTGAGCAGCTTGTGTGCCTTGTATGTTAGAGGCACAGTAAGAGGCGAGCTGCCAAGAAGAAATAAAAGGGGTGCCCCAAAGAAAGCCAAAGTAAAGACAGCGAAGAAAGGACTACTGTACAAGGAACAAAGGAAGACAACTGCACCAATGTATCTTCCGTTCAACTCAAGAAAACACAGCTGGCACATAAAATTTTCTTAGCCAGCAACCCGGCTATGGCCTGCAGGAACTTTGAGGTGACAGTTTGGTTAAGCCGTCAGTCATTTTCATCATGTTGCCAGGGAAATGTCTCACCTTCTTTTCTTCACTTGTCAGCGCATTCCACTCCTCAGCAAGTTTCTGAGTCATAAAGCAGATCAAGCAAACCGAAGATCAGTACACTACTCTCTCTCTCTCTCTCTCTCTCTCACGTGTGCGCACCCCCGCCCAAAGGCTCACCTACCAGCCATTTCCATAGAAAAAGATACGAACTTATTATAAGGGAAACGTGTCCCCTGTCGTTTTGCTTGGGCAGGGAGAGCCCGTGCATCAGTCTTATTGACGTGCACTTGCACTGTAAATGACAAACTAGCGAGCGCCCTTGCATCGAGGGGCAACTACGCCTATGAATCTGAGACTGCGGCCGAGGTGTCAGAAGCACATTTAGTCTTCACCAGCTTTACGTCCTACCCTAAGAGTCACACAGAGTCACACAAAATAACAATCTCTGTTACACATAAAAGCAACAAGCATGGCCTTCATTCCCTCAAATTGCCAAAAGGGAGAGAACACACGCCCAAAAACTGCAAAAAGGTATAGTGTGTAATGAGTTAGCGAAAATGTATACTATGCCACACATGGCTCCACGACAGACTGTAAGCATCAGCAATTCCCCGATCACCAGCGACGCATTCGTTTTGTATGTCATGACAACATTTTTGCAAGTTTGACCACTGAATGTGTGTAGTGCAGACTCCTGTCCTCCGCATCCATTAAGAAGTCGATGAGATTTAACGACACAAACTGCTTGGTGGATGCTAGCCTTGCTAGGAATGACGGAACTCTGATAGTGCACAGATGGCACAAGGAGATAAGAGAAAACGCATCAAGGACTTACCTTCATTACTTCTGTCGTTTTCAATCCTGGGTTTTCACTCTTCATGCGTTCACGATTCTCCATCCTGTTATAATCAACCAAAATATTCAGAATTTCAGAGTGATATTCAATAGACGCACAGCAAGACCCATCCAAATATCTCATCACCACCAAAGTATACACTTCGTTGCATTTCCTCCACTTCGGCAAAGTTTTTGTTCTCGATCTTAAAAATCAGGAAAAAGTCCCACCCACATGTCTTGTCACTCCACCACCCCTCTAAGAAGCACAGGGTTACAGGGCAATGATTTCCTTCACGGAGGTAGGAACAGAGCCAAGTTGATCAATTTTGAGGCTGGGTGCCTATTATTTATGAGAATTGGAAAGGAAAAGGAGTCGGCCGTAAGGCCAGGACGCTTCGGAGCGAATTTTAGGCTATATGATCCTTTTTTTTTTTTTTTTTTTCATTATGGATGGGAGGCCCGAGTAGCTGGCATTGATTACTTCCGTAAGGAAGGATGTACCACCCCTCTCCCCTGCCTATGCTTTCCTATTGTACTTGGTCTATCCTACATTCATCTAGCCCTGCTAAGTCCTTTCCTCTCAGGCCGAACAAATCGGCTTGTCATATGATTCGTGAACTCCACAAGAAAGGCCTTTAGCTTCTTCCCCCAATGCTATTCCGACCCCATATAATATCTGTCCTGTATCTTACACTCTACCTACCTTGAATTACCGATCCGTGGTCTTCTGTCATATCAATTGTTTCCCCTCTGTCTGCAACCCTTAAACCCTAAACCCTCTCTGTTTTCTGCCGATATCCCATGTTGCTATACCCCTAAAACCCTAGATCCACTAGTAGGGCCTAAAGGCCCGGCCTTGGGGTACAGCAGGCCGTAAAGGCCACATTTTGGAACCAGACCCGACGGGCAGGCCCAAACGACATTACCGTTTGGGCCTGGCGGCGCTCTTGAGGCTGCCGCCCGCCGGTTGGGGCTGAACCGTCAATCTCGACGGTTCAGGGCACGGCCAGGCCTCGCAGCATTGAGGTCGGCCTCTGCCCCACTGGTACTAAAGACCGGTCCGGCCTCATTCTGGGGGATCGAGCCACCAGCATTCTGCCGGTGCGTTTCGGTTGGCACCAGGAGTTAGCGCCAGCGCTATTTCGAGCGCAGCGCGAGGAGCAGCGGCAGCAGCGGTAACGCAGCAGCAGCACCAGGGAGCAGCGGCAGTGGCGACTTCGTAGCACGGCGGCCATAGCCGCCTGAGGTACAGGAGGCGAGGTTCTCCTCCTCCCTCCTCGTCGCCAGCCCCCCTCTCTCACTCCCTCCTCCTCTGCCATGTCATCTCTTCTTCTTCTTCTTCAGACTTCTTCTTCTTCTCCTTCAGATTGGAGACTTCATACTAGTTGGACAGAGATCAGTGTTGGACTTCGGTGGTAAGAGGCTGTGGTACTTACCGGATTCGAGACTTGGAGATTGTTGGGGTTGATACTTGCAGCATCACAGTTCGGACACCGTTTACATTAGGACTCTGTATCTCCGACATTGGTGACTTATTGTCCTCGACATTTTGATCTTGTTTGATGACATTTTGGACTACCATATCGGTGACCTATCGGATTCTATCTCGGTGACCTTCGGTGCTGTCTACCTCCCCCACCTCCTTCGTCTCTTCGGTGACCTATCGGATTCTATCTCGGTGACCTTCGGTGCTGTCTACCTCCCCCACCTCCTTCGTCTCTCCTCCCACCTTTCATCTGTGTATGTCTGTACGGGGCCTGAGCATCGTCTATGCATGGCTCAGACCCCACCATCTCACGATTGTATGTGTGTGGAGTGATATCTGAGTGAGTCAGTCTATATGAGTCAGTCCGTTTATCAGACTTCCGCTGCATACATGCTCTTCCTATATTGGTTGATCTTTGGTTCTGCCCCATACTCATTGATGCATTCACGAGTATGTAACATCCTTACTTCCCCCCACATCATGCTTGCTTCTTCACATTCCAAGAGGCAGTGTTGCATTGTTTCTGGAATTCCCCCTCGACATACCCTGCATATTGCGCTCTCCGCATTTCTCTGTCTCGAGCTTCTACGCTCATCCAACCATACATTAACGGGAAGCGCCACATGAGCTATAAGCCATTGCATGCTTCTAACAGAACCTAGACGTACAGCAGCAATGCTTGACCATGGCAATTTAATATGAGGCTGTATCTGAATTTTAGGCTATATCTGTAAGCTGCCGTTGGAAGATGAACTGATCTGGTGCACGCCAGAATGGGAGTCGTCGAGACCGTAAGGCCCAGGTTTTTCCAAAGAGGGGGAAAAAAAAAGAAAAGGAAAATGAAAGACGGGCGGCAGGTGAGGAAGCAGTCGACATAATCTCTGGTGGTGTCTTTTTTCTGGAAGTAGGGACGATTTGTTCATTGAAGTTCAGTTCCACTAAGGCCGAAGAGAAATGAAGGGCTCTTTCTCTTCTTCTTCTGTTTTCCCCCCTTTAAAAGAGGGAGTTAGACTCTAGCCTTATTTGAAGTTTGAACTCTTGCTCTGTTTCTGAACAAACTATGTGTATGACACTGTGTGTACCATTTAGCTGCAAGTCAGGTATTGAAGAGAGTTTTTTTTTTTTTCTTTGTTGTTGAAAAAACAGAACCTTACGGTTCTGGCTCTGCTCCATTCTCGGGAGCATCAGTCCGGTTCCTATTCCACCGGCAAGTCAAGAGTAGTTACAGCAGTTCTCACGCACACTCCTCCCCATTCTGGTTGAGAGGCCTGAATGGACAGCATTGATTACTTCCATTTGGAAGGATGTACCACCCCTCACCCCTGCCTAAGTTATCCTATCTGTCTTTGGAATTGGAGTTTGGCCCTACTTTGTCTGCTAGGATTTCTTTTTGTAAGCTATTGTCTGCCTCTTGAAGCCTAGTCCTACTTGTTCCTCTCAGCTCTATGGCTGTTAACTTTTGGGATGCATACTGGAATTACATAGCAGGCCTATTGCTGTCGGGACTTCTAAGACCCTTAACCCTAAGGCTCTGGCTCTGTAGGTAAATCCTGTTCTGTCTCTGTTCTTCTTCTGAGGACTAGTACCCAATCCCTTCTCATACTCCTTTTGTCCTTGGTTCCTATCTCGAGCTAACCGTTGTGATCTCTTTTATCCTTTATACATTTTAGTGTTGCGGCCCGTAGGTGGCAGCATTTAGCATCAGACCAGTGACAGCTATGGTGGCAGCATCAAGCATCAGACCAGTGACAGCTATGGCTGCAGAAGAAGGTGGCAGCATCCAGCATCAGACAAGTGACAGCTATGGCTGCAGAAGAAGACCGGCACCATAGGATGGGTGTTGAAGAAGAAGACTGGCACTAGGTCCCGGATGGCTGCTGAGGGAGACACGAAGGTATGCTCGTCTAATCACCTTGTTGCTGTGTGCATGTTGGTCAAGAGAGAGCTCATGGTGCTTGTAGTAATCTGTGCTTCTCCAGAGCGTCCTTGCACGAGGATCTAGACAAATTGGATGGTCAACAGACATAGTAGCAGTTGATGCTTTCGACGGATTGGCTCTTCTTCTTTTTGAAAGGCTTCACGCATCTCAGAATCCCAGTCCCGACTTCCCAATTCCAATGTCCCTTGTAACATAGTCCCACCAGTACAAACAATCTAGTAGGCCCTTTAAGAAAAGAAAAAAAAAAAGCTTTGGCCGGTAGGACCAAGAAGTCACATCGAAGCTTAGACCATTCTTTGTCCGTAGCTGTAAGGGGCCAACATGCAGCTCAGTCCTAGGAAAGACCGTGAAACATCCAGATCCATTGGAAACAGCCATGGCCCACAGGCACTTGCGTACTAGTCCAGAAAGGTCCAAATTTGGCAACTGCAGGAAGTACTTAAGGCCGGACGAAGCAGAGCATCAACACAATTTCCTTCATGCATATCGCGGAAGAGCTGCTGCTGCCGTGCGCGGTCAGACATCAGTTGGAACTGAGTGTACGGTTAGTCGACAGGGCTGGGCACCATAGCGCGCGGGCGCCAGAGAGAGAGAGAGAGAGAGAGAGAGAGAGAGAGAGAGAGAGAG